GCAAGAAAGAAAATCATACTGATGATAAAATGTCCTAGTTGGAAATTTTTATATCTCTATTTCCCCACAAAATAAACATCTTTATATTCACAACACTTTGTTTGATATAGCTAAAATGTTCTAACATTAAAAACTGCTTTCTAATCTAATGATAAATAACCACAAGTCCAGGGAATAATTAAGTACACACACACAAAAATATCCAAGTCTGTGTTCACATCAGTAAAAAGATGGCAATTAAAGTAAGTGATAGCTATAATTACCCACACATAACTATATTTCAGCAAATGAGCAAACAGATAATTATTTCTGGGAAACAGAGGTAGCATGCAGATACTGGCATTCAAAAGAGAAATCATTTCCTAGAAAATAACACTATTTCTGTTCCAATTAGAACTTTAAGTTATTTTAAACATTTACTTTCATCTTGTGCCTTTATTTAGAAAGGACACTGTACTATCTGAATTATGATTCTGTACCGTTAATTGCCTTAAGTGTTATCGTGACCAGATCAAATGCTGCACACAGGGACATTTGTTCAAGTTGTCCAATACAGATGGAGAAACCTCCTGACTCTGTCCTCTGCACAGCACTTACTGGCTCATCTGCAACATCCATCACTGTTTCAATCAGAGGATGCCTAGAGGAACCCTGGTACACAGGGCATGCAGCTGGATATTTTAATAGTCCTGGGGAAAGTGTCGGGCATCTGGAAATTGATGGTTTTCACAAGAGTAGACCAGCGTAAATGCGTCAAGTTGCTTTGAGAGACTGTGTCCCCAAATGAAATGATTTTTCTGTTGTGCACATAACTCGAGATTTTTCAAGTGATCTTCAATTAATGTCCACACAGGAACAGCTTTAAAATCTGCTTGCCATAAGCATTTAAGGGAAAACACATAAATCTGTGTCCAGGGTGTGGACCTGCACTATTTGTTACATGCTGGAGTTTAGAAGCCTGAGATTGCCAAAGGCTCAGTTCTCTGGTATCAATCTCAAGGAGCATGTTCCATGAACATTTCCATTTGGGTCTGGAGCGGTTTCATTTGCATGGTTGTTTTTTGCATTTCGGTGAATTTTTTGTAGAGCAAGACTTGGAGCTTTTTGTTAAGTTTTCTAAGACACTTTCCCAAGTGGTAGCTTTTGTCTTTAGCCTCAAAGTTCAGAAAAATTAAACCTTTGGGGAAGGGAAATTCCCTTCCTTCCTACGCCTGTATGGACACCCCTTTCCCATCTCTCTAGTTTTTTAAAACATTGTGGGATTGTAGCTGCCACACACATCAATGACCCCACCAGATGGGAGGGGGCATCCCTTTCTCCCCTAGAATGTCTTCTTTTTTGCACCCTCTTTATTCTGTCACCCTGGCTAGTGGATTATCAAGTCTGTTAATGTTTCCAAGGAACACTTCTTTTCCCAAAGAACCAACATTGGTTTTGTTCCCTGTTCCGTATTTCAGTAAAGTATGTCCTTGCCTTACTGCATCTTCCCTCCTACTTTCTTGGTGCTTATTTTCTGCTCTTCAACCCTTATTTGGATCCCCCTTCTCTCCTAGCACATAGGTTTAAAGCTACCTGTGTCCATCCGTTGAGACCTCAGCCACCCCCCATAGGTTCTGTCTTATTTTCACGGACGTTAGTTGGAATATTGTGGTTTTCAATTCAGACTTTGTTTTTTTTTTTCTTGAATGCATGGATTTCTGGATTCAAGAACTTCTGAACACTGTGGAGCTCTAGCTTCCTCTCTGTGTGGACTCTCAGGACCCTCCCGTGTCACCAGCCTGGCAGGAGAGCTCTTAGTCTGTAAAGTACTGTGTTATGAGTTATTCATGCCATAGTTTGCACTAAACGAGTCCTTTAGAGTTTAATTCTTTTAAGTTTTCTTCATGTACGTCCTTAGACCTTCCACCAAGACCCACTTGTTCCACCTTTTAGGTGATCAGGCCTCTTTTGCCCTCTTCTCCATCTTTTGAGTTGATTGACGTTGAGGATGCAGCTGGCAGGTGGGATTTGTCCTGTATGATATTAGAGAGTTTTGCTACCAACTGCACTCACCTTTTAAGTGATTTTTCATGCCTTCCTCTACCTCTGAGCATTCCAAGTCCACCAAATGCTTAATCCTTTATGTTTTTATTTTTTTTTTCTAAAAATATTCTTAACTCCCTTTCATTTTCACAGGAATTTTTTGTTACTTTTAAAAATTGGTGTCACCAGTTATTTTCTTTGAGCATGTTAAGTATGTCCTTCTACTTGTCTTTGGGCCTCAGCTGCTCCTTTGGTGGTCATCTGCCTCTTTTAAACCCCTGGCTGCTTTAGGATTCGTGGTTAGCCTTTATTTTATAAGTATCTCACTATGACCCTGGCAGTGGTTTTATTTTCATTTTTCTACTCATGCTTTCCGTAGGTTTGAATTTAAAAATAAAAGCTAGGCTCAGTTGGGCTTACTACACAGACGGGGTGGGGCCTTCTCAGGGTGCACGTCCCTGGCCTGCAGGAGCACAGCCCTCTGTGTGTCGGCAGCACCTGGTGTGCCTCTGCAGTCTGCTCCTGCCGTCACCCCCGCTCTGGCACCCACTCCTGTATCTGCAGGAGTGCACTGTGGCCTTCAGGTTCTGTTTGCCAAGTCATCTGTACCATCGCAGATTGTCTCTTGGGTTTCTGCTGCTGTTTGTTCTGTTTTGTGCACAGTAGAGGGTCGTTCCCATCGGCTACAGAGTCCACCGTGTGCTAGTCAAGCCTGTAAGGTGCCCTGTAGGGTGCCCTGAGGATGCTCTGTAAGGTGCCCTGTAGGGTGCCCTGTAGGATGCCCTGTAAGGTGCCCTGTAAGATGCTCCAGTGAGCCCGCCTCTGGGCACTCAGCTCACGGGCTCCCTCCTCATGCAGTGTGGACTCACCAAGGAGACTGCAGCTCTCTTCCTGGCTGCTCTGTGCTTTCCCAGGGGGAAGCCTGCTGCCCTGCCATGAGGCTGCCCTAGGAAGAGGGCCATGTGAATGGACTGACTAGAATCCTCTGAGGCCTGCAAAAACCCCACACATGACCTTGGAAAGGCGCCAAGCCTGGGTTTGCTGCTGGTTTGATGCCTGCCTCATGAGGAAGCTAAACAAGGGCATATTGCGGAGCCATGCCCAGCTTCCTGACCCTAAAAAACACAAAATCACAACCATTTGATGCACAAAGCCTCTAAGATCTTCCTTGCCCGAGGGTGTGGAAGGGTCGGAGGTCGGGGGTGGGGTGGGGTAGGGATTGGGAGGTGGGGGGCAGGAGTTGCACAGCATGGATAACTGCTGCCATCCAGGCGCCAGTGGAAAGACCACACTAGGCCCAGGTGATCATGCGCGAAGGTGCTGTCAGCCTTGCGTCCAGCTGTTCCTGTGCACTGCTTCCCTTTCCCTCCGGAGGGTCTCGGGTTTTACAGTCAGCACCACTCACCACTTTCCTCAGTGCTGGGGCCAGGGTTGGAAACCTCACCAACGTTTCTCAGGGAGTCTGAGTCTGTCCTCTGACCACGTCCATGTGCCCTGGCCCTAGGATTCCAGCAGCCCTCCAGCGGCTGGGACAGAACCCGGGGTGGCCCCCATGCTCAGCAGGCGCTCTCCCCAGGCCAGGCCCAGCAGGGCCATGTCCTCCCCCTTCCCTTTGTTCTGTGTCCCCCGCCCCAGGTTCTCTGATGATCCTCCATTTCCCCGATGGTTCTGTTTTGTTTTAAGCAACCGTGTCTAATTAAGTTTAATTTCATCCTCTATCATGCTTCATTTTATTACTGAGTTTTTCAATTTCAGAATTTCCATCTGACAATTTGTGTATGTTTTATTTTGTTCTTGATTGCCCATTTCTGCTGAACCCCCGTGCTCCCATCCACGCGGGCAGGGCACACGTTCTTACTTGAAGGTGTACATCTTTGGACTCCAATCTTTTGAGCCCTTGTGGATATGCTGTGACTGACAGCTATTTCTGCAGTGATTTCTCACCGACGTGTCTTACTGCTTTTGACTGTGTGTTGGACTTTGTATTTGAAAAACAGTTTGCAGGAATATTTTGAGGTTGGGATGCAATTGTTGTCTTTAGGGAGAGTTCACGTGTTTCTCCCTGGAAACCGTGGGCCCTGTTGCTCCAGCAGCACCTTGGTCATCTTTAGGTTGAGATGTTTCACAGCTGAGCCGTGGTTCCCGGGTCTGGCCACCGACTTTTGGAATAGACACTTGAAAGCCCTCCCTGAAGGTCCTGGTTGGTCCTAGGCTTAGTCTTTGTCCCTAGAGTCCAGCAGGCCACGGGAAGCACAGGTGGGCTTCTTGGCTGCCTTCCCTGGGCCAGGATGTGCCTCCTGCCTGGGAGGAAAGCCAGAGTAGGGTCCTCCTGGCCTCGGGGCCTCTTGTCTCCCCTTCAGCCCCCTCCAGTAGCTCTCTGTCTCGAATGTTCTCTAGCACCTTCAATCAGACTAAACAAAAAGATTTTTTTTTCCAGCTCTTCTGGATGTGCCCAGGGAAAGCGTGGCCAGTCATGGCTAGACGCTGTAGGCATCTTTTATACAGGAGAAAAAATATCTGTTTACACAATTTGAGATACCTGCAGCCAAGCCGATTCCTACGCAATGTTCTCATCAATGCCCTTCAAACACCTGAAGGGACCTTGGCATTTATATCCATTCCTTCAAGATTAATTTGCTTCACATTTATTAATTATGAGAAAAAAAAATATTTTTAATTGAAGTTATTGGTGGAGCATCTATTTCCTCCTTCTTCTTAGTTTAAACTCATTTTACACTGGCTCTTATGGACCAATACTGTAAAGCTTTCTGAAAAGTCACAAATAGTGAGTGCAATTTTAATTCCTTAACCCAGGCAATAATATGCTGACAAGAATACCTGCAGTGCAGTTCACAGTTTAGATCCTATTTTCCAGTTATTAAGCCTACTCCATTCTTATATTTTAAATTCATTCTTCCTAGAAAGTTGATACAGCTTAAAACTTTCATCCATTGACTTCTAAGTTTAAAAGTGCTTACCATTTGAGACGGAATTTCCATTTTCTGCAGTAATAGCACTAGACAGTGAATTAGATAATTGAATTCCATGGTTATTTGCATTTCTATCTTGAGTCTCCGAAGCAATTTCTGATGTACTAGGATCATCCCGGCCAGTTAGGTTCATGTTAGTTTCAAAACCTAAAGTAAAATTTAGAAAAGATTATTCTTGTATGATAAAATGTACTGAAAAAAATGAATAAAGCTATGAAGAAAATAATAAAGGTCACCAGATCAAATGCTAATTATAGTTAATACAAATTGATAATAATCCTTAAATTTTTGGCCTATATGATACTCACCAAATATTGTTGCAACACTGTTAAACATGAATGAAAACATTAAGTGGTAAAAGCCAACTTCATAATTTGTCATTTCCAAACATTTACTTATGACTTTTGATGTCATAGGTCACACAGCTTATTGCAGTGTTGCTCAAGTTGAGAAGGCTGTAAGTTCATGTATCTGGAATTCTGGATTATTACATTTAAATATAGTAAGACATTCTTACAGCTTTCACAAATAACAAATGTTTTCAATGTGATGATACATTTTTATTATTCCTTTTGGAAAAGGAGACTTCCAATGCACTATAATGTATTCTGTACACTAAAATAATTAAACATTTACTCTTTTTCCTATATTGAGTGTCCTGTGGTGCATGAGGTCAGAAGCCATTGTCCATATTTAGTAAAGGTCAAATGAAGGCTTTTGAACACCTCAGTGCATGGCCTTCGGAACACACTCACCCAGGCAGACTATCTCAAGGTGGGTGCTTTGACCTCAGGCAAGGGTTACAAGTGACCAGAGCTTCACATCAAGCCTCTCTGTACACCTCTCCACCTGGCCTGCAGCCTCCCGTGTCAGTTCCCTCTCAGGCCAAGACCTGGATTGACTCTCACTTCTCAGAAACCCCAAGCAGCTCCAGACCCTGGAGGGGGTGACTGAACAGAAGGCGAGTTGTGCTGTGTTTGTGCTTTTCGCTGGTACTCAGTGGATTCTGACTGTCTTGAAGCTAGGCCTTTCAAAGGTGTAGGCTAACAAATTATTCAAAAGTGATAACACCATCTTTTGCATTATTATACTTGGTTCATGGCAAAACAGTGTGTTATCATCCCTGACCCCAATAACCCAGATCCCAAGAGGCAGAGACATTACCCATATTTTACTGGGAATTGAGGTCAATCAAAGTCATGCAGCTGGAAAGAATTAGAATAGAATTTTAACCCTATATTCTGGTCACTGTTCAGTTCTTTTTTTCCCACTAAAAATCAAATTAAATAAAATTAATTTGATTTATGCATAAAATTCTTGGAAGAACAGCTATTGCCTACAATATGAAGAAAAGCGGAGGCAGAAAATGTAGGGAGAGAGGAGGAAGGAGGCGCAGGAGGCAAACAGGCAATGGGGAGGGACACGGAAGGCGGGGAGCCTCCAGAGCTCGTCTCTCTAGGCCTGAGCTTCCGGACTGTCCCTCAGTGTCATTGCCTCCCCTTGTTCCTTGGGTCCTGCATTCAGGTGGCCCCCAGGCATGTTCCTCTCGCAGGTTTCATGTGCTATTCCACATTCCCTCTCCCTGCAAGGTGCTCCCCCATCCACCCTGCATCTCCCACCCACAGGTCAGGACCTTGGTCACATCCCTGCAGGGACCTCTCATGAGCTAACATCCACAAAGCACAGCCTGCTCTACCCAGAAAGGAAGACACAGCCTGAAGACTGAGAGGTGGAAGATGCTGGATTGAGAGAATGAAGGCAAACTGGTCAGAGAGTCCATGCAGAAAATCCTCAGATGGCCAAAGCCATCCTGAGCAAGGAGGAGGAAGCAGGATGCATGGACGCCCATGTCAGAGGCATCAAAATGGCACGGCACTGGTGTAAAAACAGACTCGTAGCCCAGGGAACGGGAGAGAGAGCTAAGAAGTAACCCATACATATGGCCAGGTGTTTTCCACATGGTGCTCAGAACACACATTGGGCAAAGATGACCATCTCCAAAAGTGATGCTGAGAAAGTCGGATATCCACACGCAGCAGAATGCAGCTAGACTTTGCCTTGCACCAGTTACAGAAGTCAATTCGAAACAATTAAAGCTTCACCATGAGACCTGAAACAGTGCAACTATCAGGAGAAACGGGTAACACTTCAGGACATTGGAAAGGGCAGGGAGTTTTTGGATAACACCCCAAGAGCACACAAAAAAACACAAAAAGAGAAGAAGGGGGTTATCCCAATCTAAAAGCTTTTGTACAGCTAAGGAAATGATCATCAAAAGGAAAAGGCTGCTCACAGGTTGGGAAGAAACATAGGCAAACTTTGCCTCTGACCGTGGGCTGGTATCCAGAATATATAAGGAATGCCCCAAACTCCAGAGCAGAAAAACCCAATTAAAAAATATGCAATAGACCTAAACAGATATTTCTCAAGAGAAGACATACAAGTGGCCAAAAGGCACAGGAAAAAATGCTCAGCATTACCAGCCATCAAGGAAGTGCAAATCAGAACCCAATGAACCCCCACTCGAGTCCAGGTGGAAGGCCTACATCAAAGACAAAGACGGCAGGTGCTGCCAAGGACGGGAGACAGGAGTGCAAACTGGTACAGCCATAGTGGAAACCAGTAGGCTGAGGATGGAGCTAGCGTGACCCTGCAACCCCCCTCATGGCGCACATACCCAAAGGAAGCAAAGTCAGCATGTCGGGGACACCTGCTCTCCTGTGCTCACCCTGCACTCCCCAACAGCCACGACTTGAAAGCAACCTACAGACCCACCAGTTCATCAAAGACAAGGGGTGCAGTGCACAAACACAACAAAGAAAGAAATCACGGCATTCACAGCAATGGGGATGGAACGGAAGTCTTTAGGTTAAAGGAAATTACCAGGCCAGAAAGACAGGCCCTGCGTGGAACCTAAAACACCTGGATCCCACCAGAGTGGAAAGGAAGACAGTGGGTACCAGAGGGGAGGCAAGTAAGGGAAGGGAGAGAGGGGCCGGTCGATCCCTGGTGCTAAGTTACAGTTGACAGGAGCCAGGAGTTCTGGGTGCTCTGCACAGTGGGGTGGCTACAGACAACAATGGCAAACTGTGGATTTCAAAAACTCCAGAAGAAAGAACTTGAATGTTTCAACACAAAGCAATGATAATGTCTGGAGAGGCAGACGCGATAATCTGATTTAAACATTATTCAATGTACACAGGTTTCAAAACATCACGTGCTGCCCCATGAGTACGTACAAGTTCTTTGGTATCAGTTAAACATAAGTTTAATTTACAAATGTCACAGCTTCAAAGTCCAAGCAGAAGAACTTATCTAACCCAGTTAAACGCCCAGTAGGCCAGCCTGGCTGCTGACTCCCTTGCACATGAAAACTCAGGGAAAAGCCTTCCGCCCAGCCAGCAGGGCAAGGATAGTGAAGCAGACAGCTAGGCTGATCTGCACTGTCAAGACCTCCGCTGTTCCTGATGCCAATCTGGAACAGGCTGAAACTGAAACATTCATTTTGGTCCAGTCCAGAACTTCTATCTATGAAAAAAAATTTCCATTTAAAGCCATTTTGAGACAGCCCTTCACCTGCTTTTATTTCTGTTTAGGCTAGTTTATTTTTCGACCCTTCAATTTGGGTATTTATTGAGTGCCTACTGTGTGCCCGGTACTCTCCAGCGGCTGAAGGTGAGGAGTGAATTATGGTGGTGGAGTCCCGAGGTAAACTCCACGGGGGGGGGAACACTTGTGGGTCCTCAAGGTTTGGCAGCACGGTCAGGTCAGGGCACCGTCTCCCTGAGGGGGCCTTTCAGCTCTGAGAAGGCACAGGAAGAAGCAAGGTGCACAGACGCACCTCGCACGTGCAGGAAGAACTCCCTGTCTGAAGAGCCAGGTAGCAGCGACCTGAGAAGTCAGCATGTGGGAGCACAGGAGTGACACAGGGAGACAGGGGCCACCAGACAGGGCACCATCTCTGCCGTCCACCCACACGTCATCGCTGAGTTCCTCTGTGTAGGGTCTTCCCTCCTTAGTTCCTTTGTTGATATAAATGACGAAGCAACATCTTTCCTGAACTTCATGTTGTCACCCACTGCATGATGACGAGCTGGGAGTGAGGCTGGAAGGGCACTCTGGCAGCGAAATGGGATCGCCCTCAGTGTCAAGGTCCCCCTTTTGGGGTGGCCTTTATTTGCCCATATTAGCAGGGGAGTCCTGGCTCATTGCGGTATGGGCCGGTGTGTGCTCCTCAGCACCTTTACTCCCAGTTAAACCCAGCTGTGCCCCAGCACCTGTGCCTGCCTTGTTAACCTCTCCATCTAACCCCAGGAGAGCCAGTGCAGAAACCCTGTGAAGGGGCAGCTTAGAGTGGGCAGGTTGGCAACCTTCCTTGCCCAGAGCACCCATTACCTGGGCACAGCACTGAAGGAACGGAAGCAAAGACAAACGAAGGGCACGTTGGCATTCTATCTGGAGAGGCCTTTGTCCCTAAAGCACACATGCAAGATGTATATTTCATGGAGAGTCTGGGAATGATTCGGAGCAAATAAAGTCACCAAGCCTGTGTGTGCCTCCAAGCAGTGGTCATCAGCACTATGAGGGCGAAGAAAAGTCATCTAGAAAGGAAAGAGCTGACACTCTCGAAGGACCTAAGGAAACCAAAGAAGTAAGGAGAATCCCACCTAAGATGTACGTCAGGGGCATTTTCTGTCTCTGCGTCTCATGAAATATATGGTGAGCAATCCAGTGCATGCTCTGGCTGGGTGCATGGTGATGGTAGCACCAGCAGGCATGAATACCTAAGGTTTTTTTTAAGCCTCTAAACAGAGTTCCCTGTTTCTTTGTGCCCTCTGCCTGGTGCTGTTCCACAAACCAGGTGAGGTGAATCACATCAGCATGTGACTCAGAGATGAAGTTCTGGCCTTCATATTAGGATATGATTATTCCATATAAGTATGCAATACAGACACATTTACGATGAGTTTTAAACTAATGAGATTAAAAGTCTTTAAATGTTAATATAGTTTTTTCACTTGTCCTGTTATTTTTATATGATTTAAATATCATTGTGGGTGGGTATGATTCTTTTAAAACCCGTTTTCTGCAGGAGGTGATCCCCCCACACCCCAGGGCAACCTCACGGGTGTCTGGAGACATTCCTA